TGAATCTCCTCCTAGAGCACCATTGAGTTTTTTGTAACCAAATCTCTCTCAGAGGGGCGTGGGGAGGGGCTCCTTATTTTCATCTAAAGTAACAGACAGAGAATCAGCACTTTGGAAACAGGGCTGAAACAGAGGGGATTATGGGTAATGCTGCAATGATCTGTTTGGTGTTTCAGCCAATCAGAGACATGTTCTGTATATATCTGAGACCTGTAATATATTGATGAAAAACAGTATGATAGGGGACCTTTAATATTGAAATCATGCTCCTTCAATCCTTCGTAACCCAACGTGTAGTTTTAAGTCCAATTGTTGTATTCCAACTTCCACTTTCGACCATCCAGATCTCTCTGGTCAGCTTTCTGTCCCCAGAGTCAGAACTAAACATGGAGAAGTTCAGTTATTATGCTCCAAATATCTGGAACAAACTCCCAGAAACCTGCCGGTCCGCTGCAACTCTGACTGCTTTTAAATCCAGGATGGAGACTTTTCTTTCTGCCGTTGCTTTTAATTGAACTATTCACATCTTAAACTGCACTGTGACTTTTATTCATGTATTCTTTTGTAATGTTTATTTGATTATCTTTGCTTTTTAATGACTGTTTTTAAATGCCATTTTCTTAATGTCTTTCATTGTTGTAAAGCACTTTGAATTGCCTTGTGTTGAAAAGGTGCTATATAAATGAACTTGCCTTGCCTATTTTAATATGTATATGTTTTTGGCTAGATAACCATGGTTGGGGATCTGAAACACGGCCGCACAGTTCATTCCCTCGCCAAACTGCTGACTCAGTACCGCATCACGCTGCGCTACGTCGCTCCCAAAAACCTCCACATGCCGGCGGAGATCATCAGCTACGTGGCCTCAAAGGGCATCAGACAGGTGCGCACTAAAATCAAGATTCAAGGCTTTTATTGTCATGTGTACATAGCTACAGTGTAGATATATCAATGAAGATCTGAGGTCACAGGCTCCTCCAACAGTGCAACACAATACAACTGATACAATAGTTAAAAGTGCAAGATAGAATAGAAATGGTGCAAGGAGAGTCTATATACAAGTAATTCGGATATGATATATTTGTAAGTTGCAAACAGATGAATGTTATGGATGTTCTTTTCAAAAGTTCAGGTGTTTAACAGTCTGATGGCCTTAAATATGGTTACACTGTATTACAAGTTGATATAATCAGATGTGTTTTCTAGTTCAAATCATTGTTCAAAATGGTGAAAAGATGGTGTGTTCTTCCCTGTGTGCAGGAGGAGTTTGAGAGCATCGAGGAAGCTCTGCCTGAGACCGACGTCCTCTACATGACGAGGATCCAGAGGGAGAGGTTCACTTCTGAGGAAGAGTACAAGGCTGTAAGTGAATTTCATTTCATCAACTTTCTTTCTCTGGTGAGGTAGAAACATAGTCCATATGCATCTTTATGAAATATCTGAGTAATATAAGACTAATTCCACTTTTTGGAGTTGGTAAATTACATGTACAGCCTTTTTTTGTTACACTATTTGATCCCACTTTATAGAGGTTTTTTGCAAAGAAGCTAATTTTTCCAGACAAACTGCCGTATTTCGATCTGACCACAAAAGAAAACCTTTACATAAGCTTGTAGTCTACAGCTTTAATGAATATTGAATACAATGATTTTGCCATTTTGTGAAGGTTGTGGTTCAAGCTATAACAGATTGTTTAAATTGAATGACCCTCTACCTCACATTGACATTTGAATTGTTAGAATTAAATATAAGATCTAAGACACTAGTTTTTGTAGGCTAAAGGTTTTTTGCCGTTCCCCTGTCAACCAAGCCATGTGTTTATTTATTATAATGTATTCTGAATGTGTGTGTTTATTCTTCCTCAGTGTTTTGGCCAGTTCATCCTCACCCCTCACATCATGACTGTAGCCAAGAAGAAGATGGTGGTCATGCATCCGCTGCCCAGAGTCAATGAAATCAGGTGAGGCTCAATCAGCAGCATTATATCAATCTTATTTATTTTGTTCTAACTTCTTATGAGAAATGTAATGCTTTGGAGATTTCTATTTAGTTCTTCTTATCGCTTCACCCTCTACAAAAAGCCACTGGGATTTTTTTGTTTGTTGATAATCTCCACATATTAACACCACTGATTGTTAAAGCATAGATGCAATTGCCAGGAGTTAAAAGCTAATGCTGGGCTATAAAGGAACTACAGCAAGGTCACATGACTTCACGTCACCATCGCTAAGCTAAAGGTGGCTAATGTTGGGCTGTAAAGGAACTACAGCACGGTCACATGACTTCACGTCACCATCGCTAAGCTAAAGATGGCTAATGTTAGGCTATAAAGGAACTACAGCAAGGTCACATGACTTCACGTCACCACCGCTAAGCTAAAGGCTGCTAATGTTGGGCTATAAAGGAACTACAGCAAGGTCACATGACTTCACGTCACCACCGCTAAGCTAAAGGTGGCTAATGTTGGGCTGTAAAGGAACTACAGCACGGTCACATGACTTCACGTCACCATCGCTAAGCTAAAGATGGCTAATGTTAGGCTATAAAGGAACTACAGCAAGGTCACATGACTTCACGTCACCACCGCTAAGCTAAAGGTGGCTAATGTTGGGCTATAAAGGAACTACAGCAAGGTCACATGACTTCACGTCACCACCGCTAAGCTAAAGGTGGCTAATGTTAGGCTACAAAGGAACTACAGCACGGTCACATGACTTCACGTCACCACCGCTAAGCTAAAGGTGGCTAATGTTGGGCTATAAAGGAACTACAGCAAGGTCACATGACTTCACGTCACCACCGCTAAGCTAAAGGTGGCTAATGTTAGGCTACAAAGGAACTACAGCACGGTCACATGACTTCACGTCACCACCGCTAAGCTAAAGGTGGCTAATGTTGGGCTATAAAGGAACTACAGCACGGTCACATGACTTCACGTCACCACCGCTAAGCTAAAGGCGGCTAATGTTGGGCTATAAAGGAACTACAGCACGGTCACATGACTTCACGTCACCACCGCTAAGCTAAAGGTGGCTAATGTTGGGCTACAAAGGAACTACAGCACGGTCACATGACTTCACGTCACCACCGCTAAGCTAAAGGTGGCTAATGTTGGGCTATAAAGGAACTACAGCACGGTCACATGACTTCACGTCACCACCGCTAAGCTAAAGGTGGCTAATGTTGGGCTATAAAGGAACTACAGCACGGTCACATGACTTCACGTCACCACCACTAAGCTAAAGGTGGCTAATGTTGGGCATGATGACATTTAGTCGTCTCATTTAGACACTTGTTAGCAACTGCCGTTTTAAAATTACCCAGTGGGGTATTTACTGACATAGCTTATGTCAGTATAACAAAAACATTAAACTCTCTTCAGCTTGTGTTAACCACAGACATTATTTTAGGCTTCTAACCAAAATAAGTTAAAAAATCAATCAACTTAGAGGTTTAAAACTCAATATGCACCATTTATCTCACTTCCTGTTGTGTCTCCTTTGTGTTTCTCCCTCAGTGCGGAGGTGGACACCGACCCCCGGGCGGCATATTTCCGTCAGGCGGAGAACGGGATGTACATCCGGATGGCGCTGCTGGCCACCGTGCTGAGCAGATAGATCCCTACGCTGCCTGTTTATCGCACAAATTGGAAAATATTTGTAGAATAACTCGTGTTAGACACTGCGTTTTCTTTCCTGAAATCTGTGGCTTTCTTGTTTCCAGTCCTTTAACTGGAGCTGGTACAGTTAAATGCAACAATAAGCCATAAAGTGATATTATACTGTTACATTATACTGCTTTCCTTACTTTCAACTTGGTACTATTTCTTTTTCTTTTTTATATTACCTTCAAAATTACTGCTTTCTTTCACAGCAATGTGATGTTCTTGTGCTGAGACACACTTTTCTATTAATTAAGATGCTTCTTAGAAATATTCCAGATGCTTTTTTTGTACAAGTGAGAATTTCTGTTTGTTTGTTGACAATGGTTAAGTATTGGCAGTATTTGTGCATCATTGAGCCATAGCCTAGGACAACTCCTTGGAAGAAAAAAGGTGTACATTTCAATCATATCGATGGTTCTATGATGTTTGGTGTTGATGAAATAACTGTGTTGGTAGCTGGGTAAAATGTACTGACATTAAAGGGACCAGTTAAGGTATTAAAAGGGACAACACGTTGTAAGGGATTGCTCTTTTCTGACCCATAATAATAGTATTTACTAATGTCTCCTATACTGTTTCTTTACCTAAATGTGTCGCACTACCTGAAAGTGGAAACGCACATTCTCTCAAAGCGTGGTTTTTGATCATTTAGGGTCATTTCGTATTATTCCGTAGCAGTGTAGAGTCTTTTTATATCCAAATGGGAAGTGGCGTCATTTAAATGTTGGTGAATTTCTTTGTATTATGTGTAGAAATAAATAATAAAAACATATTTCCTTTTGCATTTCATGTCATTAATATCCATCATTTTAAGAAACACAACCATAGCCGTCATGAATCACTGAAAGCTGTTTTACAAAAAGAAAATATATTGAGAATTCTTGCAATATCAAATGACAATAACAATAATAAATGACACAAATAAAAATATTTAAACATATTTAAAACTTCACTGTCTCTATTAATACTTTGCAGATGTAGTTGGAAACACTTAGGTAAGGTAAGGGTATTTATATACCACATTTTCAGGCAATTCAAAGTGCTTTACATAATCTTTGAAGACAACAGAAAGGAACACTAAATAAACATCATGGAAGAACAGGTTCATAAAAACCATGCATAAAAAAGATGCAGAATAGTTTAAAAACAACATTGTAAATACAGTAGGTGCTAAAACAAGTTAAAAGACTTCTGGGTAAGCACTGAAAAAAGCAATGTTTTAGCCTCGACTTAAAGGTGGGGATTGTATTGTAGGAAACCTTGAAAGCAACATCCTCTCCTTTATTCTCAGAGGGTGGTATCAGCCAATCAGATCGCAGAGCTCCTGCAGACAGCCACACACGAAGAAGAAGGAGAAAAGGAAGAAGAAGAGGCGACCCGGCGGCCACAGCACTATTCATTCATAAACCCATCCTTTAACTGAGGACTAAGACATTACACCGAATGCCTCTATGATCCAGCTAACCCTACAGCGAGATATACAGTGTTCAGTTTTCACAAGGTAAGGCTATTTATGCGGTATTAAAGCGGCTAGCATGGTGTTAGCTAACCGTGCATTGCTGTCATCGTCACGAGCGCCAAACTCCATTCATAAATCGGGCAATTTAACGTCGGGTTGCTTCTCATTATAGGCAGCAAGACGTGAGAAATTATTGATTATTAAATGATTTTTAGATATGTTTTAGGATGAATTTTTATCTGAGACTTGTCAAAACAACATTTAAAACGTATTTTTATAGGTAGCATTATTATTCTGGAGGGCGGTGGCAGCTAACGAGATGTAAAAACGACTGTAAATTAGGATTTGTAGTTATTTTTCTTATTCTTTTTGCGCCGAATTGTAGTTTAATCAAAGAAAAGATGTACCATAACATATGCAATGATTATTTTGAACATGCAGGTGAGAAAATATTAAATTGCTATAATATTCAATGCAGTTTGGTGCATCTTTATCTCACGCTACAGTGGAGTCAGGGCTAATTCTTGCTAGCAGTGAACAGTGGTGTACTGTACTTAAGTAACATTTCAGGGACTTGTACCCTACTTGATTATTTACTTTTTTGCTACTTTCTACTTCTACTACACTACAATTCAGAGGTAAATGGTGTGCTTTCACTCCATTACATGTATTTAATACCTTTAGTTACTTCACAGATCTGGATGAATCATGTGAAATCTAATCAAGTGTTAATCAGACTTTAGTTCCACCTGGAGTAAATTCACAAGCTACCCTGCAGTATACAAAGTCATTCAAACTAGCTGCACCTTTACCAGCTTTGAGAACACTTTAATGATCAATCATTATAAAACATATCATATATATTATTCTGAAATGGACCAATCTGCACAAAGACTACTTTTACTGTCGGTACTTTAACTATATTTTGATGATAATACTTTTCTACTTTTACTTGAGTAACATTTTGAATGCAGTACTTTTACTGTAACCGAGTATTCCTACACTCTTGTACTTCTACTTTTACTCAAGTACCAGATCTAAGTACTTCTTCCACCTTTGGCAGTAAGCCTAATATAACTGGTCATCCTTTTAAAAAATGTACACACAAAGTCTTGCCTTTAATTAACCCCCATTTACCCATGAAATGTCTCCTATAACATGTAGTTTAGTCATTTTTAGCTGTCAACACATGTCAGTTTTCTTGTATGATTATGAAAGCCAGAGGGAAATAAGTTATGACAGAACAAGAAGGGGTTTTAAGTTGAAAGATAATCGTACAAGTGTTCCCTGTGCCATGTTTTTATGAATGTCTGGGTGTAACATAGAAAGTAGTTCTCCATGTGCACAGGGAGATTAGCAGAGGATTAGGGCTCCACAAGGACAAACAGACGACAATCACGAGGCATTACTTCTTCCGCCACACTGGACCAAAACACCAGACCTTTCCATAATAACTTTATTAAGTCACCTAAAAATGGTGCTGTTATTTATTAAACAGAGGGATGCAGATTGTAAAGTACAGTCACATCAAAACTTGAGGAAAAGAAAGAAAACATTGTCCCAACAAGAAGTACTCGTAGACGAAAATCTCTGTTTATCTTGGTATATATAATATGGTTTGTATGGCATTTTTTATACATTAAATGCAGCTCAAAATACCCTAAAGTAAGGATAATACTTCATTCATGCTTGACATTAAAAAGGTAAACAATGAACATGGGATGCTATAATTTATAACACACCCTGCATGATGAGATATAAATAATGCTAAATATAAAACACAAGATGCTTAAAAGTAAAAAGAAATACATGTAAAAAGAAGTGCAGCAGTGCATTAGTATGAAGGAGAAAAGAGCCAAAGAGTGTCAGGCCTGTATCATAAAAGTGTCAGAAATATGTGGCCCATTAAAAGTAAAAGTCCTGCATTTAAAATGTTAGTTAAAGGTAGGGTAGGTAATTTTGGAGAAACCAGCTCGAGTGCGCTAGAATTTGAAACTACGCAGCCGAAAATAATCTACCTCTTCCTTCAGACTTCCTTACAGAGCCCCTCCTCCAACACACACAAACGCACACATGACCAATGAGGGCACGAGATAAGTTTGTGCACAGATGGAAGGCTGACAGGCAGGTAGGCCATCCAGTTATTTTAGCCGGGCCGGCTCAGATGATTGGTCGTGCTTTCTACAGCGCCACGGCTTCCACAGATGAAATATTTTAATGTATTTATTGTCAAAGCATTTAATGTATTCATTGCTATCGGGATGTTAAGAGCATTCCATGGAATATAACAAAAAGTGTTTCTGAAGTGAATTACATACCCCACCTTTAAGTCAAATTAAAAGCATTAATTTACCTAAAAAGTAGCCTACCCCTTATGCAGAATTGCCCTTTTCAGAATCATCTATATGCTTCTATTACATTATAAGTAATTTTATAATTTAATTTTAATTGTTTATTTGAATCGGGACAATGCACATTGATGAACACTTTAAACAAAACAATGCTTTCAAATGGAAATTAGCCGGATTTGAGCTTTGAGCTAATTTCCATCCGTAGTCCCGTCAAATACAACATATATGAACATGACAGTTATAAAGATAGCAAAAATAAATACATGATATGCAGAAAGAGCAAGAGCAGCACACACAGGCATTTACCACATGGCAGTACAGTGTAGCAGCTATATATAAAGTGCAAGAGAAGATACCCCTGTGTTGAAGTGCATTTAGCGGTGATTGCACGTCTGGTTGTTTCTCAACCATTCTTTGAGTTGACCTTTGAAGCTATTGAGAGTGGGACAATCCCGTATCTCAGTTGGGAGGCTGTTCCACAATGAGCTGCCTTTAATGGAGAGGACATTTTGTCCAAAAGTGGTCCGTCTACGGTGGACTTCACAGTCTCCTCTGGTTTCTGACCTAGTGCAGCGTCCACTGTGTTTTTTGTGGATGAATTCCCCTAAGGGAGGGGGTGCCAGTCCATGTAAACATTTATAAAAAAAACACATACTTTTAAAAGACTTAAAATTGTCAAAACTCAAGAAATTGTGTGTTTCAAGGATGGTACAGTGGTGGTATGAATTTGGCTTTCTGTCAAACACCTTGATAGCTCTCTTGTACAGCTGTTCTATGGGTTTCAGGTTTGTGGCACAAGCAAACGACCAGTTTGTCAAACAGTATTCAATGTGGGTCCTGTATCATTGTTATAAACTAGTTATGGTGGAAGTGGCTGTATCTCTGATTTAGTGGTACCAGATGTCCTTTATCCAGGTTGTTTGTGTACATTTAAAACAGATTTAATGACTTTATTATATCATTTAAGACTTTTCTTTTGCCCAGATTTGTGACCTCATGATGCTCTTTCTCCAACAAACTTAATTTCGCTCACAAATGGCACTGTTGTCCTGCTAAAAGTCAGAATTACTTGTATGTCATATACCTGACCTGACCTGACGTGTAGATTGTCTATAAATGGAATATTTGACAGCAGTTTAATTTAATTTTCAGTGTGTTATCATTTTTAAGTTACCATGACGCCCATACACTGCTGAGTTGTCTTATTGAGCCTGAAGCCTTTTTCTACAGACAGCTGTTATCCCTCATGTTTGCAGATTGGATGCGATGAGATCAAGACGAGTGCGCTTCTCATTTTAGTTTTGCCACCTTTGACCATAAACAGATGCAGCGTTGTAGTTCTAAGAGTCTATTTGGGGTTAGTTGGGGTTTCTGTCTGCTACTGATTCAGACTGGATGTGTTTATGGCCTCAGATTGAACTCCTTTACTTCTCCAACTCACAAATGAACATTTACAAGATAGCTCTAAATCCACTGATATGTCAAACATCTTAAATGGAGTGAAGCTTTTGTTATTGTACAAGTATTTTTATAATGAAACACATCTGATACAGTTCTCAGTTGTTGACGGACATACCAGTTTAAATATATATATATAGATAGATAGAATAGGTAGAATCGGAGGGATGGTCACACATGCAGAGCACACAGTGAAATGTGTTCTCTGCTTTTAACCCATCCTAGTACCAGGAGTCTAGTACTAGGAGTCTAGTACTAGGAGTCTAGTACCAGGAGTCTAGTACTAGGAGTCTAGTACTAGGAGTCTAGTACCAGGAGTCTAGTACTAGGAGTCTAGTACCAGGAGTCTAGTACCAGGAGTCTAGTACCCGGAGTCTAGTACCAGGAGTCTAGTACCAGGAGTCTAGTACCAGGAGTCTAGTACCAGGAGTCTAGTACCAGGAGTCTAGTACCAGGAGTCTTGTACCAGGAGTCTAGTACCAGGAGTCTAGTACCAGGAGTCTAGTACCAGGAGTCTAGTACCAGGAGTCTAGTACCAGGAGTCTAGTACTAGGAGAAGTGGGCAGCTATTGTACAGCGCCCGGGGAGCAATGGGAGTGAGGGGGGAAGGGGGGGTGTCCGGTGCCTTGCTCAAGGGCACGACAGCAGGGCAGGAGGTGAACTGGGACCTCTCCAAGTAGAAGTCCACACTCCATATTTAGGTCTGTTCGGCTCCCAGTCCAAGCCCCTACTGACTGAGCCACTGCCGGACAAATAATTCATATAATATGAATATGAAGTGATTTAAAGAAAACAATCGGGGTTAATTAGCTTTTTAATCATATTATTAAAAGCATAAAGGTTTTAAACCATATTCTCACTGATCCATTTAAGCGAGAATAGGGAAAATACAAGGATGTACTAGCTTATAATATATATTTTTAGTAAAGATAAATAATAAGACCTTCATTTTGCAATCAAAAATCAAGTTGTCAGTGCCTAAATGACCTCAAACATAACGCATATTTGCCATCGCAGTTATGCACTGTACACAACACTGATTCTATATTTTCTACAACAGTTTATTGATCCTAACATAAATCAAAATATTGTCATTCATAAATGTCTGTTTCAGTCTGAACTATGTGACTAGTTGGTTTCAATCCATTCAGCTATTCCCCTTTTTTAAGGACGGTGAAATGTCTTTATTTAACCCATGGAAACTTGTATAAATAACAATAATTTAACCTCAAC